AGTATTTTTTAACCTTTTTTTCTGCAATCTATATATTTTTTTTTCTTTAGCTAATTTTCTTTGGGTGGTGGAAGGCTAATAGGAAAGTGGACCTTTCATTTTTGATGGAAGGTCCTCTGTAAGTGAAGTATTGTCATAAAGATACCATTTTGCCAACAGAGTAGAGACTGGGCAATCATATTGATGTAGATGACCAGCTTGAACATGTATTGAAAGATAGGTCTAATAAGTGATGCTGGTGTTCAGTCCCTATCCAAACATCCACTTTCAAAATCAGGAATGCTTGAACTTGAAATAGAGTGCTTGAACTTGACAGGTATAAAAACATTTGGAACTGACTTTACCTATATGAGCATTGTGGACAGGTAAAGGGGAATTTCACCTTTTTGAAAAAAAATAATACATGCACACTTCCTCATGAAAGAAAAAAAATGTGCATTTATGATTTTTCTGCATTGGAGAAAGTAAAGCTTTGCAACTGTGATCAGTGGACCACTGGTGCAATGCTCTGGCTCCTGCAGCCAGCAGACATGTGCGATAAATTGAAATTTGTAGGAATTTTTGGGAATTCTGATATTTGGATGTATCCGAATTTCCGAATGAAAAAAATAACAAATCCGAACATACCTGAATTTCCAATAAGTAACAGGGTTATTCACAAAGCTGCAGAAGGATCTAGCCATAGCTTCGGCTGATCCTTCGGCTAGCTTAAGCCCCAGGACCCCCTTGGTTCAGTAGAACCGAAGGGCTGCTGTACGGGTTATTCACTATAGCCCGTGCAGCTCCCGAAGTTGGCCGAGCGGCCCAGTCGAGCTTAAGGCATATGCTTCGGCTTGACTGAACCCAGGGGAAAGTCAAAGCTGGCTGATCGGCCGGCCAATGGCAGCCTGCTACTGACAGCTGGGCGGAGCCAGCTGTAATCTCACGGCTGGCTCTGGCCTCTTGCATTAAACTGGGAACCCGGTGGAGTGATATCACGGCGGCTCTGCTGGGTTCTCAGTGTGTAATGACAGATGGGCGTCCCTGGTTACATGGTAACCCGGGACGCCCATCTGTCATTACGATGAGAGCTTAGCAGAGCAGGCGGTGATATGAAAGCTGACAAGCTCTTATTGTAATGACAGCTGGTCCCAGCCAATAGAAAATAGTTGGCGGAGCTAGCTGTCACTGCTAACTCCGCCCAATCTATTTTTTTCTTCTACTTTTTTTAAACTGTTTTTCTATTCTGCTCGGTACCACAGAAGGTACTGAGCAGAATAGCTGAGCCGAATGCCGCTCTGCTATTTACTCACTGCTTCGGCTATTCACTCACTGCTGTTCGGCATCTATGAGAATAGGCCGGACAGCAGCACTTCTGCACTTTGGGTCGGCCGAACATGAAGAGCATGTTTGGCCGACCCGAAGCCAGCCGCAGCAAGCCGATGTACGGCTGATTTTAGTCGGTGTGCAGCTGAAATCAGCAGTACAAGCCTGAAGTGAATAGCCGAACAGCGTTCGGCTCACTTGACTTCGGGTTGGTTATTCACTCGGTTGCCTACAGCAGCTTTGTGAATAACCCTCTAAATATTCGGATGCATGCAAATTATTTCCCGAATGTAATTTATGTTGTTAAACGTTAAAATAAAAAAGAAGCATGGAGTTCCCTCCCCAAATTAATTCATTTATAAAACTCAGATGCTCCCCTTTCTCCATGAATGAGTAAGTGGGTAGTTGTTATCCCTACTCATTCACCAAATTAAAAAAGTCAAATTGTAAATCACTATCCGAATCCTGCCGCCTCCACCTTCGTAACATCTCCAAAATACGCCCCTTCCTCACCAATAACACAGCAAAATTACTCATCCACTCCCTTGTTATCTCTCGTCTTGACTATTGCAACTCCCTCCTCATGTATCACTTCCCCCTCTCTTTTAGATTGTAAGCCCTCAGGGGCAGGGCCCTCCTTACCATCTTGTCTTGAATTGTATTGTGATTGTAATGTCTTCCTTATATTGTAAAGCGCTGTGCAAACTGTTGGCGCTATATAAATCCTGTATAATAATAATAAATAAACCGTAAAAAAAAGTCCTTTATTTGAAAATGTTGAGGACATGTGGCCTGGTATGGTGCAGGAGGGGCGGAAAGCGTGCACTCATCCCCCCGTTCCTGCTTTGCCAGGCTGCTGCTTGGGTCAAGGGTCTGGTAAGGTATTTTAGGGAGATCCCTCACTTTTTTATATGGTTTTTTTTTTGCATCGGGGTCCCCCCTAAAATTCCTAAAATATTATTATTTATGTGGACTGTCAAAAGTTAAAAACTAAAAGAAATTCACTTTTTCTAATGGCACTTTGCTGGAACCAACATTAGTTCGGAAATATCATTTAACTCATGCGAATCTGAATCCCCAAACGAATTGACTTTCGGTCCCGGCTTACTTGTCTAGCAGCCAGTACTGAGGTACAGACACTCAGTAACATGGCTGGTAAAAAGAATACATTCTATTGAGAACTGCAAGCCCCCCTGCTGCAATGGCCGATGGGACTTGCAGTTTCTTAATTCACAGATCCTGTCAAAGGATCTGTGAATAAATGACGTGACTGTGTGTGGTAGAAGAACCTCATGATTCAGGTAAGTGGGAGAGGGAGGGGGGTTTTGAAATCTGACCATGTTTCATGTTACACTCCAAATACGGGTGCAACCTGAAACATGGACAGACAGGTAAACTAAGCCTTTAATACTATCAACAGATGGCCATCTCTCAATGGATGATCTCCCAGCTACAATTTCTTTTGTGTCATAGTCAGGGCTGGATTTACTTCTCAGGAGCCTGTAGGCAGAGAAATGTGAAGCGAGACCCCCCACCCCCGGGATAATAAATCTAACAGAGGCAAGAAACTAATAATATTAGGACAGTGGTGAAGTGCCAGGGCCCAGTCCCAGCTGCAAATGCTGTGACCCTGGTAGTTCTGCCACTGACTCTGGCTGTAGAGGGACTACAAATATCAGCAATACATTATACAGCAATGCAAAATGCCACCAGCTATAGAGGACTACAATTCCCAGCAATAAGTTATAGTGGGCTGTGCACTATGGTGGGCTGCAGAGGGTTTTAGGAGGCTGAGTGGGGTCTCAAGTGAGCTGTACAGGGTCTATGGTGAGCTGTGCAGTGTCTATGATGGGCTGTGCAAGGTAAATGGTAGGCTGCCCGGGGTATATGGTGGGCTATGCTAGGTCTATGGTGGGCCGTGCGGAGTCTATGGCGGGCTATGTGGGGTCTCAAGTGAGCTGTGCAGGGTCTATGGTGAGCTTTGCAGGGTCTATGGTGGGCTGGGCGGGGTCTATGGTGGGCTGTGCAGGGTCTATGGTGTGCTGTACAAGGTAAATGGTGGGCCGTACAAGATAAATGTTAGACTGTCCGGGGGTATATGGTGGGCTATGCTAGGTCTATGGTGGGCTGAGCGGGGACCATGGTGGGCTGTGCAGGGACCATGGTGGGCTGTGCAGGGACCATGGTGGGCTGTGCAGGGTCTATGGGGGATTGTGCATGGTCTATGGTGGGCTGTGCGGTGTCACCAGTGGTCTGCGGGTCTTGCGGGCCGGTGCGGGCGGCGTGGTTTCAAGGGTGGTGAAAATTGTATTGTTTAACCCTATACAGGTAAAAATACCAGATACAAACATGCTATTGTTTAACCCCATATAGGTCATTTGTAAGGCTACATATTGAATATGGGGTACAATTGTGGGCGCTGCACTGTAGGAAAGTCTGGAAAGCTAATGGAAAATAAAACTTGTTCTTGTTTGGAGAAAAAGATACCCCTTAGCGGTCGTCTAATACATTTCTTTAATAAGGGCCCAGTCACACCATCAAGAGTGCGTTCCAGTGCGTTCGGCCTCAGAAACACACTGGAACGCAACGCAGTCGGCTCACTTGCTTTGGGGTGGGAGGGGGTGTGGCAGTTCATTGAACTCAAAGGCACCGCTCCCTGCACGCGGTGCGATCGCCACCACCCGGACGCGTGGCACATTAGCGCCTGCGTTCCGGTCCAGTGCGATCTGCAAAAAATGCTGTATGCACTCTTCTTTGCAGATCGCACTGGACCAGAACGCAGGCACTAATGTGCCACGGGTCAGGGTTGCGGCGATCGCACCGCGGGTGGGGGGCGTGGCTGCGGTGCCATTGACTTAAATGCACTGCCACGGTCCCTCCCGCCCCAGAGCTGGCCGGGTTGCGTTCCAGTGCGTTCCAGAGGCCAAACGCAGTGGAACGCACTCTTGATGGTGTGACTAGACCCTAAATCCAGAACAAATGAGATTTGGAAAACATTGTGCAAACACAAAGTCAGTTGCATACCTTGTAGATCATAAGCTTTCACGAGCAGGGTCCTTCTGATCCTTTTTTATGGTATTGTAACTGTACTGTTTCCCCATATGTTGTAAAGTGCTACAGAAACTGTTGGAGCTATATAAATCCTGAATAATAAAAATACTACTATAATGGGACTAAGAAAAGCTGGATGCTTTTCCTACAACCAATACAGTTATAATTATTAAAGTATAAAATATTTCGATATCAGAAAGTGATCCATTTGTCTTTGTTGGTTCAGTAAGGAATATTTTTCCCTTTGCAAGAAAAAGATGGTTGCAATTTGTTTGCTTTTCTCCGGAGCCTGCTGGAGTTTGCAATATGCTAGACATGCATTATTCAACCTGGTTTACTATGTAATTATGTAAGTTTCCGGAGCTGGAAAATTTTAACATTGACACTGTGAGCTGAAAATTCTGAAATTATTTCCGAGTTGTTCTTATTGATGTTAACTTGACACACCGGCAGCTTGGCAAGAGGTGCGTCTGAAATGAATTTTAAAAACATGAAACGATTAAGTGGATATAAAAGTAATTAGATCAAGAGCTGTTCTACAGCCAGCAGCCATGAAGTTGATCCCTGGCTTAGCTGCTAAATCCCGTGCTATAGATGCAACTGGTATAAAAAGAGAAAGGGAAAAGTCAGTAACTACCAGAAAAGTTCAGACTAACATCAAGGGATCATCAAACCACGTTGTCATTCCCCGTACCGCAGGATAAAGGTAATAGACTCTTTCATACTCTTTTGTGTCAACCATACTCTGTTGGTTAGGATAATTGGCCCAATTTTTCATTAAATATAAATGAATCTGTTGTGCTTTTGCCTTGCTTGAATATTTCTTTTAAAGTATTAAATATAAAATCTGGACCTTTTGGACACTTACAATGCATTTAAGCAGTTTAGGGTGAGCATCTTCAATAGGTGATCCAACCTTTATGGGCTCTCCACTCATACAGTGGCCTTGAAGCGACATGAAGCAGTTTGAGTATTCCAGCAGCAGTGGTCCTACTCTACTATTTCTGGGTCAGGAAAGATTCACATGTAATATAACTGCTCCAGACCTATTATGTGACCTTCGGATTAAATAAATTAAGTGATGGGACATCTAAAGCCGTTACAGCAGACAAGTTATGACAGAGTTCATAGTTGTGCACAGCTTATTACATTAGGGAGTGCACACAAAAGTACAAATATATATATATATATATATACATACTGTACATACACAGACCTGAGGCATCTCGGATTCCCATCTCTTCAACTGTCCCTTACCTCTTTCAGCTGGGGTGCCGTAATGAAGCAGGGAGCCTGGCAGGTGGACATATATATGACCACCCACCTGGCTTCCTGATTAAATGGGAAGCCACAGTCACAGTACCTCGCAGCTTCACAAGCACGGAAGACTACGGCTGTTAGGTGAAGAATGTAAGTGACAAGCGCTGCTGCACTCTGTATCGCTGAGCCGGTCACAGAGAGATCTTTGTGATCTCTCCACCAGCTCAGTGACTAAAAACACGGCGCCCGCTGTTGTGGTTTTGATGGTGCACTAGCATTACCACCTTTTCTTTAAGCGAAACTCGAACACTCTAGTGCCATGTGGCAATTTTTGGGGGGAGAATATACAGGAGAGAGTGAGGAGAGACAGCCATCGGAGAGAGAGAGGAGAGACAGCCAGGGGAGGGAGTGAGGAGAGACAGCAAGGAGGATGAGTGAGGAGAGACAGCCAGGAGAGTGTGCCCTTCAAGATTATATGCACCCCGTGTTTCAGACACCTTCTTGCTCTCCAAGTTCCAGTATCTCTCCATGTCTCGTGTCTCTTAAATGCACTCAAGTTGGCTCACCAGGACCCCTGTCTGCCCCTGTCTGCCTGACATTGTGTCCTGGTTTCATCTGGCCTGAATCCTGGACACGGCACATAGAGGACTCAGAACCCGGACTGTCCGAGTGAATCCTGGACAAGTAAAAATCCTATGTGGCACTCAGGGTGATGAGGGTATGCTCAGGCACACCCCGCACACCGTGTGCACACACCTATGACAGAGTTACTGATTACAGTTCACAAAGCACCATGTACCAGTCTATTTAACCTGATAGACTGGATAGATAATGTTAAAGCTGCTAATTTGGTAAAATACATTTTGTTTGTTTTTTGCTTTTCAAAGGATTTCAGCTTTTACTTTTTACTAGACAGTACAACAACCAACTATACAAAAGTAGACTTTACATCCACTGATTTTAATAGTTTTGTAAAAGATGTATTTTTTGTGATATCAAGTGTAATATTCAATAATCATTTCTGTCTGCATGTTGGCTCTAAAACGAAGTAAAAGTGTTTCAAAGTCAAAGATCAGAGATCAGTCTTTGTCTTTGTTCCTCTACTTTTAAAAGAAAGCCCCATAATTAGAGTTTTTTTTTTTTTTTTTTTTTTAGCTACATAACAATACCTGCTGAATATTAAAATACATAATGGTCTGCTGTTTTTTTTGTTTGTCCCTGTGCTTAAAAAGGTACCTGTGGTAATAACCTTAAGACCTTCACCAGTAGTCATATTTTGATATACTTGGGAACATAGGATGCTTGAGAGCCCAATTATATTTGGCTATCTGAATAGGAAAGGTAGAGGTCATCTTTCCACACCTATTACATTGCAAAAATAAAAACAGAGACTGTACTGATTTCATGCACTAGGTGGCAGCCAACTCTTTCTCAATGTACGTACTATGCTCGTTGGAGAGAACAAGCATGTTACAGTTTTAAAAATACTTGGTTGCCAAGCATTTTTACCCTGCACTACACTTATGCCAATCCACAAAAAATACACCCATTATCCAAAAGTAAATACATAACTATTGATTTTTTTTTTAATATAAGAAGAGCATCAAGTGAGACTTCATATACAACTGTTTTCTGTTTTTTTTCTTGTACCCATTACCTAGTTAATATAGTATATCCAATATGAGGATTTGGAAAGGGAATCTTTTGAAGTCAACATTGCATGATAGGTGTGCGTTCTAGTGTAAAGAAAGAAGCAAACATCTGTGGAATCTAACACTTGACAGTAATAACTAATGACTAATATTATTTTGCCGCACATTCGAATATATTCTTTAATCATTATTGGAATTTGTGTGCTTTAACTTGATTTCTGCAGATAAAAACACTATGGCTATTTCACACAGTCGGATCAGGAGGGGATCTATGCATTGTAACATCAGTGTACGTCCAGTTATTTCCTCCATCACAACAATACTTTAATTAGTGTACCCATGCTGGTCTATGGGGAATCAAATGTAAACGGACGCCTGTGCGTTTAGATCTGGCTGCCTATAATTTATCATCGAGCTTCCTATCAGCTCCGAAAAACTGATAGGCAAACCTAAGTAGAAAGCCTGTGTGAAAGGGGCCTTTGGCATGATAAAAGGAAAGAACTGGATCTTTGGAGTTAATGTATTGGATGTGTGTGGATTTAGATTTGTGTTGGTAAATTGTGTTGGTGAGATCCGGAAAATACAGTAATGGAATGGACACTGTTTACGCACACTAGTCTATAAATATATAAATATGTAATTATATAATCACAGAAGGAATCTAGATATACACTGACAGGGCTATGCACAAGAGGGTGAAGAGTTTGGAGAAGGCAGGAGAAGTGAGCAATCTAAGCCAGAATAGCTGATTTGGAATACTTCTCCAATTCAGTTTACTTTCCAGTTCAGCTATCTTGTCCTAAATTGCTCACTTCTCCTGCCTTCTCCAAACTCTTCACCCTTTTGTGAATAGCCCTGTAAGTTATGATGGTATGTGCCAAGTATTTGTTTATTTCCATAGCCAAGCCTATACCACAGTATCTGTCTATATACTGTATATAGTTATTCTGATTCATAACCAATATTGCGGAAATTCTTTATAGTTTATACACAACATGATATAACCATATGTTAGATTTCCTTGTAACCTGCGTAATGGTGACATAACTTTGACACTGATTAATCGCATTTATCTGGGTTACTGTTTTCTCAACAAATACTGATACTTAGTTACCAGGTAAATGTTGACATAATGGGGGAGGTATAGATATGTTATAGTGTTGCAGACATTTGCTGAAAAATAAAAATATTCAATTAACCATTGTGGCTGCAATCTGGAAGCCAATGGTACACTTTAAGTACTGCTAGCAAATGCTTGCTTCTAGGTTAGTGTCCCAGATATAGTTCACATCTTATAGACTTCAGCAGTTTATTACACAAAAACCAACAGAACAGCACCAATGAGTGTGCAGTCAGAAAAGGGAGAGATCTAAATGCTTCCAACAAACAATCCTTTAATACAACAATGAACCACACTGAACATAATCAAAAAATATATATAACCAGCTTTATAGCAATGATCAAGGACACATGTACAAGAAAAACAAAAGGATCATCCTCAATAAATAATTATGATCCCCACAAAACACAGACAGGGAGTACAATGAAAAAAAATAAACAATACCTTAATTAAAACTTAATTTCATTGTTTAAATTTTTTTTTAACCATTTAATTAGCAAAATTACATTGTCACATAGTGATGCGATCCAGGTCACAACATGAACCATTCCCGTCATACCAATGTTTTCTACTCCCAGGACATCTTGTCGATCTTGGGAACATTAGTTGATGATTATTGTGTTACAGCATTTATATAAATTTATATAAACTTCAGACATGTTTGCATAACACTGCTAAATACTTTAAAAGGAAATGCAGGCTAGTTAATAGATGTTGTGTGCTGGGTGTATATATAAAACCTACCAAGAATGCTTAATTTCGATCCCTGGGTCCTGCATTTTCTACTACATTTCACTGCATTTTTTTAAAGTGCTCCCTAAAGAAACAAAAGTGAAATGCTGAAACCAGCGTAGGTGTTAGATTGACAACAAACAGTAGCATTTTCATTAATTTCACTTATATTTATTAATATATGCTATCAATATATTCCCATAAGTGTCATTCCTATATATATAAATACAGCATATTGAATATATATCTATATCTATTGATATATAGATATAGATTTATATTTATTTATTTTATAGTTTAGTTACTCGGGTTTGCTATATCCCTGATGACGTGTCCTCAATAGGCTAAACAATGCTTTGAAAAATAATGGGAAGATCAATTAAACAGGCTTGACACATCACATAGACAGGCATGATCCCCAAGCATTTCTTAATGGTAATTGTGCAGAAGATTTGAAATGGGTAATATAAATCCAGTATGACATATTTTAGGCACAGTACACTAGAGTAAGATTCTTAATAATACTGCTCGCACATGTACAACAATATGTCATAACATTCTATAAAATGTCAAATAATACCATTACTTGTCTTTTATTTCAGACACGCTATGGATTGCTATGGAAAATACATAGCAATTGCACTGGTATTGTTGTCAGTCTGTATGCATGCCCTTTATTCCTTTCCTGATGAAAATTTTTCGGCTCCAGGTAAGGATGTTTGCATGCACTTTTTGTGTTAGCATTGTAAGCTTCAAACGTGTGTTACAGCTTAATTTTAGCCCCAGCCGTAGGATTAACTTTGAAGGAAACCTGTCACAGGCCTGGACAATTCGAAGTGAGCAGTATGTGCTCCTGTGAAGAATATACATAAAAAATAAATAATAAGGATTTGGAGGTATACACAGCTGAAGTTATATGCAGAGGGGCAGAACAGTGGTTTAGTGGTAGGCACGTTTGTCTTGCAGTACTATGCTTGTGTGGGTTTCCTCCATATACTCTAAATTCATCCCACACTCCAAAGTCATGCTGGTAGGTTAATTGGCTCCTGTCCAAATTGGCTGTTAGTGCTTGTGTGAATACATATGAGATCTTAGGTAGTAGTAGTTATCTTAGATTGTTAGCTCCTTGAGGGTAGGAACGGACGTGAATGTTCAGTATGTAAAGTGTTGCATAAATTATTGCTGCTATACAAGTACCTGTAATAATAATCAGTAAGTTAGTGAAAGCAGTACAGAATGACTAATATTTTGTACAGGGACAACACCAAAGATTTCAGTAAGCTTAGAAAAGCTTTGTTTCCATGTTACATGGCTTTTAGAGAAATTCAAACTGTTTTATTCTCAGTCAGGTCCCAAGGGTGTGACATTACTTACAGTGGAAATGACCGATTTCATGTAAGCTGAGCTTGGACCAGTCTATGTGTTAAATTATAGCTGGACACGTTTTGAAAGTTGCTGGTTTGAAGTACACAGTAAACTTGTTGCAGCGTAAATCAAGATATTTTTGGGAAAGTGTCAGAAACTCATTTTTTTTATGCACCGATCAAGCATATCAGAGACTTTTTTTTTCTCTATATCAGGTTGCCCTGAATGCAGACTGAAGGAAAACCAACGTTTTTCTAACATGGGGATAGGTCGGATTTTTCAGTGCAGTGGATGCTGCTTCTCTAGGGCGTATCCTACCCCAATGAGATCAAAGAAGACAATGCTGGTGCCCAAGAACATTACCTCTGAAGCTAAGTGCTGTGTGGCAAAGACACAATACAGAGTAAGTATTAGAAATTCACATTTATTAAAAATATTTAACTCAAAGCAGATCTTGTCTTAATGAATGCAAGGTGAAAGTCGAGCTCCAACCTTTCTGTTCGCTCCTAATAGAGATACAGAAGAGTAATCAAAACATGGCAGAGCATCCTACTAAGAAAATGTTTTTATCACTGTTTGTGGCTACATTAGGAGGATTTCCAACCACTTCTTACTGTTGCTGACACCCATCAACAGTAAACTAACAACTAGCGATTAGAAATCTACTGAGAGGGAACAAGAAATACTATACAAAGGTTTTCGCACCCTCCATGCTAGCCAACAATAAATAAAGATCTGGCTGGGCTTGAGCTTTAATGGTGCATCCGGATGATCACATGCGTGTTAGGCATTGCCTTGGGACAAAAAACAGAAAATGGTGACCAACTTAAAATAAGCTGTCTGTGTCACTGTACATGCACCCACACAAAAGTGGTTATACCCCTAAGAATGCACGTGAACAAGCACCTACATGCACATGCAGTAAAATTACACATCTCAATGGGGGACACCCATGTTTTCAGAGGCAAGAATTGTAAAGAAGCAGGGCAGCAGTGAGGCTAGTCATATCCTTTGTCATGATCTACTCAGCTTTGAAGCATTGCGGTTGATTTACTAAAGGCCAATAGACTATTCACTTTGCAGGGGAATTTTTATTTTGCAAGGGAATTTTCCCATAGCTTAGTGAATGAGGTGAATCTCTGCAGATTTCCATCATCCAATCACGTGCAAGCAAGACTATAGTGTTTTTGTTTAACCCCTTCATGACTGAGGCCCTTTTTTCCATTTTTGCACCCATGTTATATTCCACATTAGCAGGTGATTGGGTATTCTTTGCAAAGTAAATTTTCACCACATTCACTTAGCTAAGGGACATTTCCCTTCCAAAGTAAACAGCCTATTTGCTTTTGACACCTTTTAAAGAGTTGTTGATTACCTATAAAAAAACACAACAATCAAAGACTTAGGCCTGGTTCACACCTGGGCGTTTTACAGCGCGTTCCTGCGCGCTGTAAAACGCTCAACATGTGAAAACCAACAATTGCCTATGGGCATGGCTGCCACCTGGGCCTTTTACAGCGCGTAGGTACGCGCTGAAAAACGCCCTACGCCCGAAGAAGTACAGGAGCTTCTTTGGGGCGTTTTTCTGCGCGTTTCCTTTGGCATTCCCGAGTGTGGATCGGGGTTAACAAAGCGGTAACCCGGAGCCACACTTGGGAATACAGCGTACAGGTCTTACCTATGCCGCGATCCCCGCTGTGTCCTCCGGCGGCTTCCGACTTCCGGGTTCCGACCCTTGCGAGCGGCCGTGTGGCGGGAAGTTTGAAAGTGAATTTTTTTAAATAGAGAGAATAAGGAAAAAAACTAAAAAAAATCAATACCGCCAGTGAAACATGCGTTTCACTGAACGGAAAAACGTGCTACAAAAAGCCGAAAAAAACTAGCTGAAAAACGAGCTGAAAAAATACGCTCAGGTGTGAACCCAGCCTTAAGGACATGCTGGAAACTTTCTTTGGCCATTTGCACTGCTTCCTATACATAGACAGAATATTGCTATAGATGTTTTAATCAAGTACATTGCTAGTTAAAAAAGGCATATGTGTAACCAATCTGCCCATAGACATACGCGGGGTTAGTCACATAAGGGTGAAAACAGATAACCAAATCAGTGACAGGTCCAGCATACTTTAATCAATAATGATCATCAAAAGGCTATGTCTGGCCATACAGCTTAAATGTGATTATCTGCAGTTTTCCATAAGAGAGTACTGCATTGCTAAGTAGAGCCTACATTTTGCAAGCTACCTAATACCTTGCAGTTCAGAGGTAGGTCTCCTATATTTGAGTATCATGCAAAAACCAACTGGTGTGCTTGATGGAAACAAAGAGACATTGACAGATAGACACAGAGGAATGGCCTATCATGGATTATGGACCTTGCGTTATAGACGTAGGTCAAATGGTACAGTTCTAAGAAAAGAATGCTGCATGAATAGCCATGCCCACCTCAGAAACCCCCACCAACTTTAAAGTACACAATTATCTGAAAATGACTAAGACGTTCATGACAACCATGTCTGTAGGTTAATTTGTTGGTTCAACATTGGATATCATGTTTAGAATTAAGAAAGAGTCTACCTTACATCATAACTTACTGCTTATACAGATGTAGTTTACAGGTAGTGCCACAGAGGGGATACATAATTTAATTATTTATTTATTTCAGGTATTTATATAGCAGCACTTTACATACTGCACATTCACATCAGTCCCTGCCCTCAAGGAGGTTACAATCTAAGGTCCTTATCATACATGGATACATACCGGGAGGTAAATTTAGACAGGAGCCAATTAATCCTCCAGCATGTCTTTGGAGTGTGTAAACTCCTGAACATGCAAACTCCTTTGAGATATTGTCCTGACCGGGATGATAATACTACTACTACTACTACTACTAATAATAATAATTATTAGTACTACCATTTAAGTGGAATTTTATTGTTCCATTTTAGTGGAATTAATCAACAAGGGTAAATCACTGAGGCTTCAAACCAGGTTAAAAAAGTTTTCAGCATTAGTTTTATAATACTTTGTTATTTTTCCAGTTATGAAATAGAGAACTCACTGATCCATCTGGTGAACTTGAAAATCTAGCTCTTGGCTAACTCGGCAGCCAAATAACTTTATATAGAAACCTGCCCTAGGTTTGTTTTGGATTCCTGAGAATATGTGCACAGAGCTCTAGTTTTAGATAAAAAAAAAACCCTACTTTCTAAACATTTTATTCTTCACAATAATGTTTAAATTCAAACCTTCAGTGTTGCTTTTATTTTTGTTCCTGCTATTATTATTGCTTCACCAATTGTAATAGTTACGCAATACAATACAATGTAGAAATTAATGAACATATTGGAGGATGATTTTAAAAGAAGTCTGGCAAGTACTGGTGGAAGGAATTATAGGGAACAGCTAAATTCTTAACAAAGATGTCATTTATTTTTAAAAAAATGCTACTTCAGAAGAAAGGCTAGTTTGTGATCATTTAATTGGATCTGTGTTTTCCTGTCTTGAAAAATTGTAATGAAATTTGTTAAATGGGCCTTTGGCCATTAATTATTTTTTCTCTATTTTATAAATATAGGGGTCTATTCACGAAGCTGCCGAGGGCAGCCAACCGGCAGGCTTCTCACTGCTGTTTGGGCTATTCCTAAAGATGCCGAACAGCAATGAGTGAATAGCCGAATGACGCCGAGCGGCATCCGGCTCGGCTGTTCTGCTCGGTCCTTCAGAGGGAACGAGCAGAACAGAAAAAGAGTGAAAAAAGTAAAAAAAAGTAAATAGAAAACGATTGTGCGGAGCTAGCAGTGACAGCTAGTTGGCTGAGCAGCTTGGCCACGATCGGGAGCTGTACGGGCTATTGTGAATGGCCCGTACAGCACCCCTTCGGTTCTACTGAACCGAAGGGGTCCTGGGGCCGAAGCTAGCCGAAGCTACGGCCAGATCCTTCGGCAGCTTCGTGAATAGACCCCATAGTCTCAATATAATACATGGTGTTTTATTGACCCAAAGGTGCTTTTGCTCTAATGTTCCACACATTTATACACATTTATGTTCCATTTATACACATTGTAGGGTTGATGTGATCAGGCACCAGTTAATGTAGCAATTAGTATATTTTTAAGCTGGAAACCCATGCAAACAGAGGAACAGATTACTCGTGTGGATAGTGTCCTTGGTGGGATTTAAATAAGCAAGTGCAGTGAATATCTTTCAAGGGGGTGGCACGTGATACACAAAACAGTTTGTGCAGCTGCTAAAACACTCTCAATAGCAGTTTTGTCAAAAGGAAAATTAGCTGCTGGCAACAGCTGTCAAATTTAAATCAATGCATCTTTGACAGCCAAATATTAGTTTTAATCATTAATACCATTTAAGGATTTATTTATAGAATACAAAGGTAAGGCATTTGGTTTATATTATGACTTTATTTTTTATCCTCTACCGGAAAACATAAAAATTTTAAGATTATTGTTATGTTTGTTTTTTGCTATGCATAAGTGGGCATTAAGAGTTGACCCACACAGTTTCATTCATTGCAATGGTCATGTTTGACTTGCAGCACTGCCTGTCAAATGCAACATATGCAGTGCTGATATTGCAGTGTGCAGCTGGGGGGGTGGTGGTAAAAACGCAGATCAACCACCTGGTTTTACCACCCCCTTACCGCCCATGTGAATGAGGCCTAATACACAAATCGAGTTGTCTACCTTTTGTTACAAGGATTGCAAATTCCTACATACACTCAAAATATAGGTTGCAGCAGGATATTTTCCAGTACCTGTGTCAAAAGGCAATAAAAGAGGAGAAGTGAGGAGTTAAAAGATGTGGAGTAATATACATAGCTGGTCCCATTAGCAGAGTTGTGACTTCAACTGTAACAATTGCCTATATGTTTTAGGTTAGGATAGGGTAAGAAAGTAGTTTTTTGTTTTTTTTTGCTGTCCACTGGGAAGATCTACTTTCTTTGTCCTGGTGACCACTTTCACAAGGATAGAAAGTGATGGTAAATCTGCAATTTTACAGCTGTGTCTTGGACAGGAGGTGAGGGAAAATCTTCAAATGGAGACACCTCTTCCCATGACAACTGTTGAAGAGGGGATTTCCCCTTACTTTGGAGAATTTTATGACTAGCTGTTGTGTCTCTTGGACTGAAAATGGAGGTAAGTATTCCCATTGGAACATAACCAATACCTAGTCTATCCAAAACTAATAAAAAAGTTTTTGATTGTAGACCTAAAATATTCATGAATGATCAAGAACAATACGTAATCACTTGCCAAGTGCGATCATTTTGTAAAATGCGACTACGCACCTTGAATTCTAACCTGCCATTTTTACTTTTTTGCTGTTGCCTGCTTCAGAACTTTATTTTTCTTTTCCAGGTCACGTTAATGGACACTGTGAAGATTGAAAACCATACAGCTTGTCACTGCAGTACCTGCCTTTATCACAAATCCTAAACGCCAAATGATGTCTTTTGTTAACATACAATAATAAAACAGATCTCCTGCTTTTCATTAATAACCTCTAACAATGTTCTTGAATTTACTGCCTGAATAGCAGCACACTTTTCCTTTCACCCTAATTACAGGCACTGGTTTCAGATAAAACTTTTTTTTTTATTTTTTATTCTTGCTTGTATACACTTGATTAAACTTAGATTAGCATTAACATTTGCTGTACATTTCACTATTTTTCAAGTATGTATCACTAATACAGTAATGTACAGTAACAATGTTATAAAGGTGTCTTTTCAGCTGTCTGTTGACTAAACTATTGTTTTAAATGTGAGGTTTTTTGGGGGTTTTTTGGTGACCATTTCTTGAAACATCTATCCAATACTAAATTACATAAGACCTTATATTAAAGCGATAGAAGCCAAAAAACAAAAGGGTGAAGAGTTTGGAGAAGTCAGGAGAAGTAAACAATCTAGGACAACATAGCTGAACTGGAAAGGGAGCTGAATTGGTGACTTTTTTCAAATCAGCTATGTTGTCCTAGATTGTTCACTTCTCCTGCCTTCTCCAAACTCTTCACCCTTTTGTGAATAACCCTTTTAGTTTTATTAAAAACAGGACTCACTGAATTTTACTTTTTCTTTATGGTTTTTGTTTCATTATGTGCTGCTTACTGTAAAACCAGCAGTGAATGTTTAATGATTTTAGTAAATAAGGTGAAGCCGTATCCCGTTTGATTAACAAACCTTTTGCTAGCAAAAATCCTATTTTTTTAATTGCAATCACATATGATTGGGTATTCATAGTGAACACAAGTTGACCTTATTGTACATAATTCACTTTCAAGGTCTGCCTACACAGTTTTAATAGTGAACATTTAATTTGGGTGAGTACCCTCCAATCTTTTAGTAAATCTATTCAATTGAGTTGACATATACCTAATTGCTTCACCCAAAGCATTTTTTTGTACAATAAAATGCAATTAGGTAACCACATATGCAGAATTAAACATACCTTAACTTTAAAGTAGTATGAAAGACACACAGAACTCAGGATTTAAATTTGAGAAATGCATTCAAATACCTTAACTAGTAACAAAAATGTATCTTATTTGTGCATCACTCGGCTGTAGATCTTCAAATTATCTCTGAATTGGTGCTGACACTGTCCTTCTTTCTGGAGGGTGACTACATCTGTTCCCCATGGTCCCTGTGTGTGTTGTATAGTAGCCACCACTCCAGGCTCCCTTCCATGATGGACTACAATCTCACATTTAGTTTACTAATTTATATTAACCATATAGTCTATTCCTTGAGCCATCACCTCTGTGAGGCGAGTGTCTGAGCTGGTGGCCTTATCTTGCAAAGAACCTTTTTTTATTTTTGCAATTACCAGGAAGGAAAAGGCAAAGCAATTACATTTTTAAATAAAGAAAACAATCATGTAAATAATTATGTCTGTAAAAACTCTACGGTGTCTATTCACTAAGCTGCCGAAGGATCTAGCCGTAGCTTCGTCTGATCCTTCGGCTAGCTTCGGCCCCAGGACCCCTTCGGTTCAATTTCCGGGCTATTCACTATACTGATCTCTAGACAGCCCAACTCTCCCGGACGCTCCGGGAGTCCCCCGCTATTAGATAGCGGCTCCCGGCCGCCCGAGAGAGAAACACTTTCTCCCAGAATTTATTTTTTTAAATATTTATTCTGACGGCAGCACTAGCTCCGCCCAATCGTTTTCTATTTTATTTTTTACTACCGTATATACTCGAGTATAAGCCGAGATTTTAGGCTGGAATCAGCCGTACAGGCCTGAAGTGAAAGCCGAACAGCGTTCGGCTCACTTCACTTCGGGTCGTTTATACACTCAGCTGCCTATGGCAGCTTAATGAATAGACCCCTATATATTTGGTCTATGACGTCACTGAGGTTTGCCAGCTGGTTTCTTTACAAATGCCACCTGACCGGAAATTTCTCATTTTGTGGCAGTAGTGCAGCGGGGCAAGCCTGTAGCACTTTTAACCCACTTCAGGACTGTCCACCATCAAAAAAAGTCCTGGTCCTGAAGCGGGTTATACCAAGAACATGGCTGCTGCTACAGCCATGTTCTTGGTGTCATTTAAAACAGCCATCAGTGGCTGTTTAGATACAAGTGATCTGGTGGCTATACAGTCGCCAGATTGCTTGTATGGTACGGCGGAAGGTGTTCCCCCTCTCTGCCGCTGCTTACCCCGGGCTCTGCTGTCCCCCATGTGGTGCAACAGTGGCACCGTCATATACAGTACCACATCTTATTCTTTACAATATATTAATTTTATTTCTATAAATAGAGTGTAACAATGCATATATCATTAAAAGACATAAAAATATGTAAAACCTCAATACTTTGAAGTTTGCCTACGATGTACCAAAGATAGCAGTAAAATACTCTACAAAAGATATGCCACCAAAACAGTATCCTTCCAATATATACATCAGATTTAAATGACCCTTCACATAGGATTCATACAGACATCAAACAAACTGGAAGGGATTCACCGTATATTTGTATTCAGCGCATTTTACAGTTTGAAGTCACTTCTTCTTTCGGACCAGCGGCAATCGTGCAATCAGCAATATTCCACAAATTAACATTATGATACGTCTAAATAACATATATTGATATAAAATAACAAATGTCTCTGGGAACTACTTACATCAAGTGTTTTAAGATACTCAAAAACAGAGTTTATAGGTCGAGCTTGTGATCTCCCAAATCAACTCATAAATTATCCCTCCACTCCATGTAAAAATGGTTATGTTCTGTAACACCGTGTGCAGCTTTTAAGCACTCCTCAAGCATGTTCTTGAAAGAATTTGTTTATTTTCATTGTTGGCCTCGAAGCTGCATAAAAAGATCTTATCCCCGCCTTGTGTGTAGAAGTGAACCTGTGGTGAAAAAAAAACAATCTGCAAGGATTTTACAAGATGTAATTACAGATTCCTACCTGCTATTATTACAGATCTCTACCTGTGTTCTGCTTGTGTTCTTATATTGAAGCTGTCTATGTCTGCATGCTCGCAAAACGTGTGAGGATCTCATGATCAACCACAGTGTTGTAATAAGAAACACGTCATAGTCAGTCAGGTTGAAAAAAGACACAAGTCCATCGAGTTCAACCTATAGATCCCATCACATGGGATCACTTCGGATGTACAATATCTTTGCCAAGTATAGTATCTCATCACAGTACAACACCCATGAGTAAACGTGGATGTCTGCAATTTTACTTTTTTTGCAGACTTCTGGGAAAAGCACTGAGCCAATTACATAAGCAAACAAATTGTTTTTGGGGGAATTTATTCAACTGCCTTGTAGACTTAAATAGATTGTTTTATTTTTAATAACATGCTATTTCAAAATAACATGTCTTGTAATCATATATTATTAACTTTTTAATGAAACATGCCTTTCTTTTAAAACATCACCAAACCTTCCTAACATTGTGCAGCTACAGAGAGCACCATCTTAGTCTCTATTTAGATCTATAGTACCAGGGTGTTGCACATGTGATCAGTTATGACATCAACCATTTCAGGGCTTGAAAGCTTTTTTGAGAGGTGACATAAGTACACTGGCAACTGTGATAGTCATCACCAGAGGCATGCCTTGAATGTAACATACACTGCACATGCACTAGTAGGCAGAATGTAATTGGAAACACAGCAAAAAAACATTGTTGGTATGCTTGATTATGGATTCAATAACATTTACTGAACACTCCTAACTTGAGCCTTCTTTTGGGAAACAGTTAAATCGATGGGTTTAGTTCCTTTCTAAAATGTAATTAGATAGAAATTAACCTTTCAGTACATATTACCTATTGACACATTTTATTTCCAAAGTATTACATAACTAATAATGTACGGACTGTACATTATTAGTTATGTAATACTTTGGAAATAAAATGTCTAATGTATAGCTATCAATGTATCTTTTACGTTTAATAAGTTTATTGTACTGTACCTAATATTTTATCTAAATCTGTCATCAGCATCCCAAACATAAGACAGATGGTTAAGGCATAGTCATTTCATAATGTTTGTTCCTTTATGTTGGCATTGTTGCTGTTATGTTTTTATTGCTTCATTATTTTTTATGACTTGTGAGTCATTTTGTGCACTCTAGACTCATGTACAGAAGTTGACTCATTTCTGAACCATTCATACAAGCATATTCAACAGAAATCTTTTAAAGTCAAATATAGGAACTGGTCAAGGTATTAATGATTAAAGGAGATTGAAATAAGATGAAGCATTAATTGTCAGGAAATACAATAAAGAATTTGGTCTTTTATAAAGTACAATGGTCATATAACAGATACATTACATTTTATCTCAATATATTTTCTGTGTACAATCTAATAATACAGCATTTTTTCTAAAGGGAAAGAGTTTAATTGCTTATCGAAGATAATTAAGAACATAACAACAGACAAACATAAAATGCAAAGAGAAACATCCTAGGTTTGGAGAATCACAAAAAACGGAGACAGCAACAATTAGCAATAGTTGTTGGAAGAAAATGTTTCCACTGCAACATATAAATCTGACATGATTAAAAAAACAGTATCCTAAAAAGGGTCATTGTGTGTGCCTAAAACATAAGGTTGATTAGATGATTAGTCCAAGCAAGCAGACATCTGGAGTAAAGAGCATGTCAAATTCCAAAATGGCTCGAGAAAGAAGTGGATCATTCTCTAATAACATTGCATTGAAGAATTGTTTCAACAAAAATATGGAAGCTTTGGAAGTAATACACTTACAATTTGGAGCAGATAAAATACCCATGTTTTTGTAGAGCATAATATACTGTAATTGTTTAGTTAAATAAAACTGGTATAGTTGATTCTTACTGCACAGAAAATGTATCACGGACCTCTTCCCAGTTCACATCATCAAGCAAGGGCATAGGTTGTTACCAGTGGGTAAAGGATGTCAACAGTTGTCTGTTGCAGATCTACATAAAAATTACATAGCAACATCATGTTCAACCAAAATACAATAATAAATCAATTAAAACTCTCCATCCTGGCAAAAAAAAAATCTGCAGTTAACTGCGAGAAAGACAAAAAACAAAAATGACCAAAAAAACATTAACAACAGAAAGAACAGTAAAAAAAAACAAAAAAAAACTTCACGAAAGGTGGTAGCTACATTTGTATCTATATATTTACAA